AACAATCTGGGTCCTCATTTTACCCACCTCGGAAGGATGGAAGGCTGAGTCAACCTTGAGCCGGTGAGATTTGAACAGCCGAACTGCAGAACTGCAGTCAGCTGAAGTAGCCTGCAGTGCTGCATTTAACAACTGTGCCACCTCGGCTCTCTATGTTTAGGTCAATCGGGGACCTACCTGTGGTGACCTTATAGCCCAGGCAAATAAAATCTGTCACTACCTCCATTTCTTCCCCATCTATTTGCCAGGAATTGAGACGGCCGGATGCCATGATCTTAATTTTCTTACTGTTGAGTTTCAAGCCAACTTTTGCACTCTCTTTCTTCACCTGCATCAAGAGGACTCTTTAATTCCTTTTCCTAGACTTAAGGGAATTAAGACTTAGCTTGCTTAGTCTTGATTCCCTCCCCCCCTTCTGCTTTATTATGCTGCAGGAAGCCAAGCTGTTCAGTTAATTTAGGGTTCTGTATTCCATGTAGATCCAGAAATTTATTAATTCAGTCGTTGCCTTAAGTGGCTGGGGTCAATTCAGCCGGAGAATTGAAAAAAAGCATAAACGTGGTCTTCTCCTCAAGAGGGAAATATATTTTCAGCACCCTGGAGAGTTCTGCTTCTAATGATTTACAAGGAGCTTGTGGGTCCTGCTGTCACTAATTGAGTCCAACCTCACTTTAAGAAGAGTGAGGCTGGGTAATCTCTCAATTTTGCCCTCGATTAAGGCTGACCTTGTAGATTGCTGTTTCTGAAGACTTAGGCTTCCAGATGCTGGAGAAACTGTGGTGCTAATGGAATAGTCATCTGCTGAGTCCAGGCATTCAGACAATCAGAGGACAAACCCCCAAGTAGAGTAGTATAGAATTGGGCAGGCTGATGGACTTATATAGTGTTAGAAGGTTCCTCTGGCTCGGGGGTGTCCAACTTGGCACAACTTTAAGACGTATGGACTTCAACTCCCAGAATTCACCCGGCAGGCATGTTGGCTGGGGAATTCTGGGAGTTTGAAGTCCACGAGTCCATAAGTTGCAAGGTTGAACCCCTGTGCTCTAGGTCAGGAGTGTCAAACTGGCAGCCCGCAGGCCGGATACAACACATGCAGGCCACGCCCACCCCAGCTCCACGAGTGGGAAAAACATCACGAAATGTCATGGGACGGCAACGTGATGTGGCGAGTTTGACACCGGTGCCTTAAGTCCCCACTCTTGAAACGACCAAATGAACTAATTGTTTCCTACAAAAGCCCCCTCCCCATTCACTCCGCTTTTGTTTCCTATGGGAGGGACCAATCACCTCCAAGGTGTGGCTTTCCTCCGAAGTCGACCCTGATTTCTTAGTTGTTCTTGTCTTCTGGCAGCTCTGCGCATGCGCACACTGGGAACAGGCTCCAGCTGTTCCTCTGCCTCACTGCTGTCTAGTTCTCCCTCTCTGCCTCCGACGCAGAGCCCTCGTCTGAGCTTTCCTCAGCCCCCAGGCCTGGCCCATGTTCCCCCACAACCTCCTCACTGTCTGACTCTGCTGCCAGCTCTGCTGGCCACCGGCGGGCCCCAACACTTGCTTAGGAATAGTTAGAGTGTTTTGAATATTAAAAGCATTTTGCTCAAATTCTCATGAGGAGACTCTGACTTACGTCTGAGGCTAGTCATTTGAGGTTTTATTAATTCACATATTGGAGGGAAATCTGGGTCCTACCTGGGTAGAATTGGACCAATTCTATTCCACCTGTGGAGGGCAAAGTTTCTTCTTAAGCAGATCCAACAAGCAAGGAAATATTCTGAACTAAATACTGGTATCTAATCAAGAGGAAACAACGGGCATCATAAAAGCTAGATTTGCCAAGAAGCCCTTCATATAAGAGTGAAATTGCTGCCCCAGTTCAATTGGCTTCGTCACCCGGTGTGCCTTATGCTCAAATTGAACACACCAAGGTGAGAATAATAAAAGAAGCTTTATTTTGCACAGCACCTCAAAGCCAGGTACTCCATCAATGTCCACTGGTGGGTTTTATAAAGCAGGGGTCCCCAACGTTTTGGACCTCAAGGACCACTAAGTTCATAATTTTAAAAC